TCTTCGGAGTGTTTTGTTGTAACGCACCAAGTTGGTATTCGAGAGTGTTTTGTTGAAGTTACAAAGCATCTATGCTTTTGGTTTGGAAATTGGTAAAAGCATGTGGCATGGCTTCAAGCGCTGAGTGCTTTCAGATGCTGTTCTGTTCCTTTGATTATTGAAAATGATTCCAGCACAATCCTGCTAATTTTCTCTTTGTACTCCTCTAATTTCAGGAGACTGTTAGAAAGTCCATCTAGGCAGAGTGCTTATTGCCACTGCGAGAGAAATTTTTGCAGAGCCAAATTTTAGCAAATGCAGTAATTTCCAAGGATTTGGAACATTTTCTTCCTGCTTTTCTTCTCCCAATTTTTTTTTTTTTTTTAATTTGTGTGCGTGCGCACGTGTGTGTGTATGCGCATCATTCACGGTGCATGCTATTCCTTTTCCTCTCCATAGCATCCATGGTATACCACAGTATAGTTTAGCACCAGCTCATTTCTGCTTCCCCGGCATCCTGCAAGCTGAACGTAGGAGGATGATGTTCAAAAAAGGCTTCCCGAGCTTTGGGGGTCATTAGGCACAATCACGCGCGGTCCTTGAAAGCCCGGGCAGTGAGGGCAGAAGCATTTATCCTACCGGTAGCTTTGTACCTTGTCACCTTAAAATATATGACAAACACTGATTAATCTTAACACCATCTGAATGTGATAGGTGTATATTATTATACCCCTCTTGATGGAACGGGAATCTGCGAGTAAGAAATTAAGCAATTTACTCACTGACAGTGGCAGACTGAAGTATAAAGACTGGGTGTCCTAATACCTGCTCTCTCCATTAAGACGAGATGTATTTGTTCTCTAGAGGATTTTTCTCTACCAGGGGTAGGATTCCTTTGCCTTTAAAAGAGAAATAGCTTTTCTAATACTGATGCACCTTACAGTTTTTGCCAGAAATGACATTTGGCATATTCACGACATTGTTTCAGTTCCGCTTTCTCCCAGAAGGAAATAATTTGGGAGAAAGCATCAACATTTTGCTACATTAAAAATATTTTTTTCCAATAGAAACAAGATTTAAACTTGTAATTGAAAAGTAATTTAAAATAATAAAAAGCAAAACTAAAACCAATCTGCACTATTTTGTTACACAGATTAATTTTTCCAGCAACTTGCTTTCAGAATTTGTAATGAAATGTTTTAAATCAATGTGAATTAAACTTCACATCCAACCTCTCCTAAGTCAGTGCTACAGACACTAAAAAATGTTGTTTTCACAGTTGTGTTGCAGATTCAGCATCCTGATTTCTTATCACAGGTTTTATGTGTAAAACAGACTCTCCTCATGGCACTTTCTAGCACCGTGTAAGATAGTTGTTTCATATCTACTGCGAATTGTTTCCAGAACCAGATTTCATGCCATCCGTTTTTGAAAGTGGTGTTCAAACAATGGGCTCACCTTTCTTCTACTCTGTTGTTACCTTTTTTTCAGAGCAGACTGCTGTAGTCATTATATCATAACAAAATTTACCGTGTATTAGATCAACACTAAACTGAAACTCAGGGTATTAAGTCAAAACTGTGTGTTTTTCACGTGATCTGAAATACCAGAGCATTTAATCTCTTGATTGGCTTTTTTTTTTTTTCCCAGTTTTGTGTGTGGTTTTTTCCCCCCAATACCTTTATAATTAAAAGATAAAGGGAGAATAAATGTTCCACCTGTCCTGCAGTCCTTCGTCTCCCCCTCATGTCAGCAATGAGGGTGCCAGTGCCTCCTCCACTCCTGAGAAGCGCAGATGAGATTATGAGATTGGTGATGTTGGGTTGTGCCTCGGTGCCTCCGTGCCCTCTCTTGGCCATTGCTGCCTGGGTCTGAATTCAGAAGTAGCTACGAAGTTATGGGAATTTGCATAGGCGGCGCTGCTTTTAAGAGTGCCAAAAAAAAGAAAAATAAAAGACCCTTGCTGCCCAGCCATAAATATTTCATTCCAATCATTCCATATTCATTTCTCGATTCACTGGGAGTGTGCCATGTCCTTTGCTGCCGTGATGGCATGCGAGGCTGCCCAGCTCCATGGCTCCTGGGCACATCTCCTCCGCCAGCCGCGGGGCCGGCAGCGGCTCTTGGTCCGCGAGAGGCCAGCAGAACCCTCCAAAGAGGACATCTGCCCCATGGCTGCGGGGAAGAGTACAAGTCCTACAGCCCCTGGTCCTGCAAGCGTGTACCTCTGCTTGGCTTGGAGCACAGGAAGAGTTAATTTGTTCCACTGAGGGTGGCGTGTATGGGGTAAATCATCCATATGCATGAGCGTTCCCAGTGGCAGGTCTGAAGTTAGAGTCTCCTGGCTCCTACAGTGCAGGTGTGAGGAGAGCATGTCCTTCTGCCCGAGGGCTGCAAGGTTGCGCCCGTGCAAGGGCAGGCGGGTGCAACGGCGCATGGGTGGTTTTCGGAGCCCGGGCGCGCGGCTGCTTCTGCGCTTGGGCTGAAGGGAGTTTGGAGGTGGGTCTTCTGGTCCTTCTGTTGCCCGCGTGTGCACTGGAGCTGGGCAGGGTACGGCCACCAGTTACAGATCTGTCGGTTTGGGTGAGGTTTCTTTTGTGTGTCCATCACGCGACCCAAGGGCTTATTAAAGCTTTTGTTTTTTTCAGAGGTAGTAAATGCTCAAAGCTCCCTCCTGACTTCCCTTGCAGTTGTTTAAGATCAGCGTTTTTGAAATTTAATTCCTCTATGGCGTGTTTTTTTCCATTGTCAACCAGGGCTTAACATGGTGGCTACGTTCATTAGTGATTTCTTTGAAGACAATGGTGCAAGATGCCTTTGATCTATAGACCAGGATTTTATTATTTTTTCGTATACATTTTTGGTAGCTTTCTTCTGCTGCTTCAGAACAAACAAATGGCACAGATCTCACTGTATCCAGTTGGGAATACATTTTATTCTTTAGCAAAATGTTGTTGTAATAAAATGTTTCTGTTTGTTAAAATGTTCTCTGCTTTATTTATAAGCCACAAATGTGTCTTCCCATTTTGACTCTCACAAAAGAAGAAATTTTCCAATGTGCCTTAAGTTTGTTAGTTAATTCAATATGATGCCAATCAGATATTCTCTGAGAATTGCATAAATAATCTTTTGGGGCCCATGTTTTGCATGTCTGTGTAACATCCAACATAATTTTAAAGACTGTCGTTCTTGGGGATGGAATTGGAGGAGAGAATGTTTGAAGAGGATTTATAATATTTACTGCAATAAAGAAATTTAGGGATTACTCAAAGATCCTGTCAGTATTTGGGTCAGAAATATAGCCCAGAGGTATTAGTATGATAGGCAAGTATAAGCATTAGACTGTATTAGTGATTTAGCTATCATAATAGCACAATAGTCTATCATGTGATGGCTAGTGCACTAAACATTTATTGTGGATTAGCCAGGAAAAATGCACAAGCTGTCTTGCAAACAGACCAGGGAAGGTGACTATTATGTCTTTTACTGGGTCTGTCCTGGAAGGGGCATGTTGGAGGTGAAGAAATAATTTCCGTCTGAATTTTTTTAATTACAAAAGGAAAATGTTGCTTCACTAGCAGTGGTTAGCAAAATAAGCAACGGTTGACCTATTCTTCTTTGAAAAGGAATATTTGAGCATGAGCAGCATGTGATAATTTAGATACGTGTTTTGGGAAGCCATTTTAATATCTTCTCTGAAAAACGGTGACTATATATGGAAATTTTTATTACATTCCCAAATAACAATTTTCTGTGGTGTGATTCCATCTAAATCCTTTTGCCTACTCTAAGTGTAAAAAAAGCTTAATCCATATGAATATTGAAATACCACTAGATACAAATTGAGTTTTGTCTGATGTTTCTGAGTGTTTTCCCATTTCATAAACATGTAGTTTTTCCAAAGGACGCTGGAGATAATAGGCAAAAGTCTGCTATTCCTTTTTGCTTTGTAAGACCAGGCTTTAGATCCTTTGATCCTCCCCTCCTTTTCCGTGACCTCTGCTAGGGTCTTAAAATTATACATTCCAGATTACACCTCCACAATTTTCTGTCCTGGGATGATGAAAGGATTTGCGTATTATGATAATAATGTAAAGAATCCTTTTGGAGCCTAGTTAGTACAGCTAATTTGAAACTACAACAAAAAATGTAATTTCCAAAGCAAATTACAATATTCATAAAGTGTTAAACAGATACCTAACTAATTTCTAATCGCTCTTGTATTCTTGAGTATCTTGCATTGGCCTTTTTTTAGGCCTGCCTGCTTGCTCCCATTTAATTTGTCCTTAGCTGTGTGCAGTGGATTAACATTTCATCAGGGTGGATTAAGATTGAGCTGACACTGAAGCTTTCTTTTTTATTTTTACATGCGCGCTTGTGTGGACGAGCGTATACGTGCACATTTCGTTATCTCGCTGCCGGTTCCTGGTGGGTGCTGGTGCAGACGGGAGCCCTGAGCTAATGAGGAAGGAGACAAATGAAACGGATGAAACGCGTGTTAAAAAAAACAACATGCCAAAAAAAAAAAAAAAAAAAAAATATTCCCCGGGGGGGAGAAATTGCATTGAGGTTGCTGGCTGGGTCGGCGCGGGAGATTTCATCGGGCTAAAATGATGTCACATGGAGCGAGGGCTTTAGCAGTTTTATTTAGCTCCTAATCCCCACACACTGCTCGGCCAGTTGTCCATGTGCGCGCGCCGTCCCCAGCGGCAGAGGATAAAGCATCTGGGCTGAGCGCGGCCGCCCTCTTCTGCGGCTGCACTGCACGGGAAGGGTCTCTCCCTCCGCCGACCCGGAGCGAGAGCGGGTGGCAGCGGCCGCCGCATGCTTTGCCTACTAAGGTTTCGAAGAATTAATAATTCAGGCAACGCTTTGAAAGGCAAAACCGCCGGCCAGTGGTTTCTGAAGTCCCGGGAGGGCTCAGGCGGAGCACGGTCCGGTTTTGATGCGCCCCGGAGGAGCGCCGAGAAGGAAGGTGCCTCCTCTTCTCCCTTTCGGCGGGAGCCAACGGCCTCGCGGCGATGCCCATCCCCAGCAAGCACCCCAACATCGGCCGCTCGCAGAGCTGGGACGCTGCCGGCTGGTATGAAGGCAACTGGGAGAGCGAGAACGCCTTCGAGTACCAAAGGCCGCCGGGCCGGAGGAGCTCCCTGACCTACGGTGGCGAGGGCGGCTGGTACGAGCCGCCGCGAGCCAACGATATCATCTTGCAGGGCGGCGCGGAGCTGAAGCAAGAGGCGTACCCGTACCAGGATGCCGCCTTCGCCCCGGGGCCCCTCAGGAAAGGCTCCGTCCCGGACTTCACCTACTGCGACCGGCAAGCGGCCATGGCAGCCCGGGGCTCCCTGCCGCCCCAGGATTACTACAGCGACCCTTCCCTGTCAGCTAGGTCGCCCAAAGACCCCCGCTGCTACCGCGACCACGTGGTGAGCAGGCCGTTGGCGAGCTACGGCGTCCCCGGCAGCCGGCTGTCCTGGGACCAGGTCCCGGGGCGCCTGCCCGCCCCGCCGGAGGCCGCCCGCCTCTACAGGGACCCCAAACTGGTGCTGGACGGGCAGCGGCCGCGCGGCAGAGACGTCTCCCCGGCACGCTACGGCGCGGAGCCCCCCGGCCCGCGGTACGTGGCCGAACCGCCCGCTTTCCCCGGCAGGCAGGCCTACGGCGACGGCGTGGAGCGGCCCCCCGAGCCGGCGGGGGGCAGGCAGGCCGCCCCCACCTGCCTGGTGGTGGACCCCGCCGGCGGTGCCGGCGGCGGCTACGGGCCGGGCAGGGAGGGCGCCGGTGCCAAGGGCCCCTACGACAGCTACGAGGCAGCGGCGGCAGCGGCGACCCCTTCCCACCCGCCGGTGCCCCCCAGCTTCCCCGGTCCGGAGGGGAAGAGGAGCTTCGACCCCGAGTTCGTGGCGCTGCTGCGCGCGGAGGGCGTCTCGGAGAGCACTTTCGCCGCCCTGCTGCAGCAGGGCTTCGACTCCCCAAACCTGCTGGCCATGATGGAAGAGAACGACATCAAGTCCGTGGCTCCCAACCTGGGGCAGGCCCGCGTGCTCTCCCGTGTCGCCCACAACTGCAAGGCGGAAATGCAGCTGCAGAGGCAGGAGCGCAGGAGCGGGACGCTGCGCCCCAGGACCCGCTCCAACAGTTTCAGCCACCGCGGCGAGCTGCCGGGCGACTACGGGGCGCCCCTCGGCCCAGGGCCCGCCGCGGACGGCTGTGCCCCCCCGCAGCCCCCACCTCCGCTGCAGCCACTCTCCCCGAGAGGAGGGGAGATGCACCGCCGGCCATCCAGCGCCCCAACCCAGCACCTGCTGGAGACCACCGCCTACCCTGCCTCCGCCGGGGCTCCCCAGGGGCCGCACTTTCTCCCCGGTTCTGGATACGGCACCCCCCTGCCTTGCAACACGCACCCGCGCCCGGCCTCTGCCTACTCCGCTCCGGCCGGCATGCCCGTGACCGCGGCCAACCCGCACGCCAGCCCCAAAACGGCTTACCCCACCACCTACACTGTCCCCATGGAGCTGATGAAGAGGGAGCGGACGGCCCCGGCGTCGCCAGCACCCAGCCCCCACGGCAGCCCGCAGCTCCTCCGCCGGCCGGGAGCGCCGGGGGACGGCAGCCTGGCACCCACCGGACCCGCTTTCCCTGCCCAGCTCTCCCCATACCCGAAGCTCAGCAGGCGCACGGGGCCCCCCGTCATCGTCTCCACCATGGCGTCACCTGAACCAAGTAATTTCCGAAGGGTCTCACCCCGTACGGTAGTTTAGAACCGCCCTGTTGTTGCTTCCTTTGCCCCCCCAAAAAACCCACAGTCAAACGTATTGCCTTCTCATGCCTAAATGTTAGACGCTTCCCTATTTAGAAAAGGAGGTGAACAGGATTTCTTCGCAGGGCCGCGCTGGCTACGCGGAGCTAAAGATGCTGGTTCTCGCTCTGCGGTTAAATTCCAAATATTTTATTTGTTTAGCCAACTTCAGTTAAAAGTGAGCGGTATCTCAGATAATGCTTCCAGGGTTAATCTTGCCGTTCCTGTTGTTTGTAGAGAACGGGAGATTAGATACTGCGCTGGCTGAGCAATTAGGACTACAGGGTTTGCTGCAGATTGACTTTTTACCGCTGTTATCAAGCGCAAATGTGTTTCTCTGAGGAAATGGTTAGCATTGTTTTGACTAAATTCATCAGATAGCTAATGGTGTTATTTGAGAATCGACTTACCTTTGGCCGTTACCTAAGTCTTTTCTTCTTATTATTAATTTGCTGTTTTATCAGGCATACAAAATAAACCCCTTGATTTCCTTCTAGAGATGCTTGTAAGTGAAGTGATATAGCTGTTAAAGTAATAGGTCTGCGCTTAAAACTAAAAGCCTGTCATTAAGCCCTAGAACAATAAAAATGAGTGGTGGCTCCTCGTCTTCCCTTCCCCTTCTAGAAGTGCTCAGGCCCTTGGCTGCTCAGATGTAAAGCTAGATAAGCTGAGCAGGCTCCACTCCTCCACTGTGGAGATGTACATTGATGATAACGCTCAGAGCCTGAGAGAAACTAAGCCCCAAAACCACACTGCTAAGCACAAGGAAATTTGGCAAATCCATTCATTTGCGGCTTGACTTGTTTGAAAAACGTGGAAAGAAATCCCTTGTAATGTTTTTCCTGGTAGTGACTCTACGAGCAGGGAATTTTCTCCGTGTGCGGTTCAGCTGAACTCCCATGCAAACAAGTCTCAAACAATGTGCCGTACCAGCATACACGCACAAAGCTTTAATAAAAGGATACCTTTTATAGGCATAGAGACAGTGCCAAACTGGTGATGCCATTCCACAGGAATCTAAATAAAGAATGATTTTGTGAGTGGAAATGATAAAGTTGTCAAAATGCAGACACTTGGCGCACCCCTTTCCCTGGCTTACCATAATTACACAGCTAGGAAGTAGATGCCGTTTCTTTCATGCTTATGTGTCCTTTATGTAGCTGGTGTAATCTATTGATTTCTAAAAAATGCTTAAATATTAGGCAACACATTCTGTGTTGACATGAATTAGATGCAGAAGTAGTACGTTCAGGCGGTATTTTTAAATAAACAATTTCCCAAAGCCTGAAAAAAAAAAAAAAAGATGAACTGGCATAATGCAGGGAACACAAATATGTTCATTTATTTGCGGTACGTTGGATTGAGCCGGTTGATAGAGATGCTGTGAAAGCCCTGATGCTAAGGCACTGACGGAGCACATGCACTGGGAGCAGTCTCCTCTGCTACAAGTAACAGACCCCTCCTTCCTTGTGTCTCGTATATAAACTGCAAACCCTATTCTCTAAAAATCTAGATACTATCCCTTCCCTTTAAAAGAATTACCAGTGCGCAACAAGAGGAAGCCAGCAGTGTTTCTGTGCTGCTGAGCTCTTTCTTGCTACTCAACCTTCTTTTTTCTTTGCCTACGACCAACTCATTTGCATGAGGATGACATTTGTTGCTCCAGTAATTTCATCTGATAATGGCCAGCTTGCAAAGCGGATCTGAAAACATATTCCTTAATTATGTGTTGCTAAGCAACGAGAGGGTTTGGCCATAATCACAGAAAGATTATCTTCTCATTGAAGTCCCTGAAAGGTTTAGCTGAAGTAGGACCTGTAAAATTGTCTTCATTTTTGTTTATTTCCCCTTTTTATTTTCCAAATAGCCTGAGAGGTTTTCTTCCTGTTAAACTATATTTTAAAAGTAGAAGCCAAGGTAAGACACATGGCAAACAGAAGGTTATGGATTAAAAATGAAAGGCGTGGCGGTTTGTAGATGTTTGAGCTGTGTTGAGGAATTACTCTTTAAGGAGCACCATTGCTAAGGAGTGTTCACACTTACACACGAGGTGATAAGCAAATATTACAAATATGTTAAGATGTTTTTAAAACATTGAGCGGATGACAGAAACTTGACTAAATCCAGGAAAATCGTATTTGCCAGCAGGAAGAGACAGGGTGTGTTTTTAGGAGCAATGAGCCTTCTCCTGGTTGTAGCTTTGGCTGTGGATACTTGAGTTGCAAGGTGAAAGCAAGTTCAGTATTAAACTCTGTCTCTAAACGGCTGCAAATATTTTCTGTTGGTATAAATGTCTTCTTAGTCAGTGGAGGGGTTATAAGATGTATGTTATAGTCCAGTGATATTTTGAAGCTTGTTTTACGGGTAGGGGTTTAAAATATATCATTTTGGTTATTGTTGAAGTCTTTTTGGACTATGTATTGTAGTCTTTCTACAGTGAGTTGTTTCTAGATACCCGATTTGTGATTTTGTGCTAAGTTTTGACAGTCTGTACGGATTCTGCACAGCTACTGTTTACTGGAATTTGGGCAGAGGGCTCGCAAGAAGGCGGCATCTTCTCCTGCCCGGTATTTCTTATGGTAGAGGCAGCATCTCGGGCAGGGATACAGGCGTGCACCACATGCTTATGGGCCCCTCCTTTTGGTATGGTTAAGTAAGGGAAAATCAGCAACAAGATTTATTGCTGCAACTTCTTTGCATTTCATAAAATAATTATTAAGAAGAAGTTAGATAAATTGCCCTTCCTGGGAATTGCGGAGTTGTATGAAGAGAAGGTGGTGAATGAGCACCCTTAACCCATTGCTGTGGCAGCAGAGCGAACGGGGTGTGGGAGCCGAGCGATGTCCCCGGAGCCAAGCTGGCTTCCCGTCCCAGGAACTCCCCAACCACGGCTCTGGCAAAGCTGCTGCTCTCTGCATCCTGGAGACCTTGTGCGTGAAGCTGTCAGGAATGGCTTTCCCTGGGGAGAAACGTCCTCGGAGCTTGCTGCTCCTGCGGCCTCACCATCCATAGCATCACAAGTAGTGAATGCACCGAGTCATCTCAGTGGCAAGCAGGAAAAAAAACCCTGCAAAGTCTGAGCAACAAAACCATGTCAGCTGGTGGTCTGCTGCCAGAGCAGGTTTGTGACCAGCCTTGTGCTGAAGTGGGTGGTAATGCAGGGAAATAAATAGTTTAGGTCAGCAAAGCTGGTAAGGGCAAACTGCATCTAACGATCACTGATTAGATTACTGGAGCTCCACCTCTAAAATGCTGCATCTTCAAATTATTATGTTTGCTAGTATTTTTATTAGATTACTTGATTTATATTTTTTATCCGATGTTTCAGTCTTAAAGCAGTTGGCTGAGAAGAAGTCCTGTATTTTTGTAGCTAGCCTAGACTTCTCCCAAACAAGGGGTCGGTCCAGATTTCTGTTTCCAATGATGGACTTAGGGAGTTCCAATGAGGAATGGTGATTCATTGCAAATACGTGTCTTGGATGTTTTTTCAAACTCTAGTTTACATATGAAGATATGAAAGCAAATGATCACAGAGGGGGAGATACTTCCCACAGGGCTGAGGAACAGGGCTGCCCCGTACAAGTCCGGTAGGTATCATAAGGAAGGAAGAGCAAACTTACTTAGCTGTAAGATTCGGTTAAAAGCCTGACCTTTTCCTGAGCAGGAAAAGGCAAGCTGAGGGTAGCAGACTTCCCTGGACAAGTAGTTCACTCCAGTGTGAAGGGGACTCATCTTCTCTTTTACTATCTTGGATCCCAGCTAGAAATGCCTTTCACTGTGATTAGCTCAGCCCTGCTTACACTGTTTAACACGATTGTGATTCTTTTTATTGGTATTTTCCACCCTGTGACAGATAAAAATTGTGTTAACCACCCATCAGTTGCAAGCTGAAGGTGTTCCTGTGGGCAACCCCCAAACAGGAGAGGGCATAGGCAGGAGCAAGAGCCTTGATGGTTGCTCAGGGATGGTTGAAAGAGCTCATCCAGGGTGGTTAAAAGAGCAACATTTGCCCATTCTTTTAAGAGTACCGCATTGAAGTTGTCATAGCTTTCTATGGGCAGACAGAGTTTAGCAGTGATACTTCGTACACAATATAAATTTCATGAGCATTTGTTGTTGGTGGTTTATTCTTTGCCCAATGTACCATATAGTGGACAGTTCAGAAATCAACTTCAGGTTTTCTTCACTATGTCTTCTGTACAGAGTGTTGCATGTAATCACAATGTGTACATGTAAGACAGCTCAATTAACAATCCGGACTGAAACAGCACCAAAGGAAGCTCCGTGCACTGAATAAATCTGATGTAATTTGCACATTGACCTGACAGACCATAGCAACTCCTTGGAGCCATTCCCAGCTAGTGTGTTACTCCAGGTAAAGTAAGTCTGCACTGCATTCACTGGCAAAACCATGGACTAATGATTTTAACTGGGATTGTAACTTCCATACAAAAACACTTGATTGAAATAAGCGTGCCTGTCTTGCTAGTGTCTGCTGTCCTGATGGTCACAGCATTGTTTGCAAGACTTTAATATGCAAATGATAAGGGTACTAGCTGGAAATAATTGCAGTGAGTTTGGGAAAGCCTTTGAAAGGCTCATGAGGACTCTCACCAACTTCAGTTGGGCAGATGAGTGTGCGGATGTGTATCATGCGTGGATCTTAAAACCGAAGTCATAAGAACTGCTCGTGTTAGTAGAGTAAATGGCTGAAGAACAGAGCGTGCAAGAGATGTGCTGAAAACTACCTTGATAAAGTATTGACTATATCTTGGCCAATATGTGCACATGATTCACTGATAGCAGAGAATACGCTTTTAAAATACTTTTTTAAAAGGTTGAAATACGCTTTTTATAATGGTTTTATCAAAAGCAATATAAAGTGTCAAACTCATTCCAGTTGCAATTCATTGACTTTAGTGCC